GTTGAATATTGTATGTGTGTTTATCTTTTAAAGAGTGCTCCTCGAGTCTCTCCAAGGTCCCTACACAACCTGTCCTTAGTAAAGTGCTTATTAGAAAACTGTAAATGTGCACTTTTTGGAAATCTTTTTAGCATTAGCATCTAGCACTGCTTCATTTGAAGCCCTCTCACACATAAGAAGGAAATAAATGTATGAATATAGACACCAAATTTTGGAAGCTTTCTCTTTTTCTCTCAGATGAATTCCTATAGACATCAATGGAACTCGTATATTGAAACTTATGAAAATGTTAATATTACTTTTCAATGGCTGGTTATTGCCCTATTAGCAGTACTTTCTAGCATCACTACTGTTTGTATTGCTTATATTTAAGGTTAACACTATCTTACACTGATTGTGCTACAGACTTGGATGATAAATCAGATCATGTGTTTGTTGAGAAGAGGTATGCTATTACTTTCTGAGCAGTGAGATTTATGGTTTTAGTTTGGTGAACAATAAAAATACCCCACAGCCTCATCCTAAAGCAGTGGTTCCCAAAATGGGGGGGGGGGCGCGGAGTTAAAAAAAGCAGGGCATGGCAAGGCTAAGGGACAGAATCAGCAGATTATCCCGCTTAATATGCCAGTACTTGCCACATAAGTAAATAATAGAACACAAAATATTAATTTGAAATATTTTATTACCTCAAGATGACTCGCTGTCTGTTATCAGCTGTTGCGGTTGTTGTCGTGGAATAATAGACCAATAGATGGCACGATTGAAGAATCAGAAATGAGTTGGAGGGAGCTGTGTAAAAATATCAATAAATGATGCATGGTTCTGCACTGGACAAGTTTGTGAAAGGACTGTCAGTGCCTAATGTAAAGCGGGCAATGAATCTACTTAAAACATCACAACTAAAACAAAGCAAAGGCATATCTCGCTCTCAGATTCACCAGTACAATGGTGGGTAATGAAGAGAGACCACAGTGTGTTGTGTGCCTCAAAATATTAGCTTCTGACAGTATGAAGCCAAACAAGTAAGGACAACACTTAGGGACTTCACGTCATGAACACAAAGACAAGCCCGTTGATTTTTTCCAAAAAACCTACTCAACTGTTGTGCAAAACTAAAGCAGCATCTGTGCCTTCAAATGCTCAACTCACCTCCTACAAAGTGGCCTACAGAGCAGCTCAGTGTAAGAAGCCGCACACTGTAGCTGAGGAATTAATACTTCCATCTACTATTGATACGGTTTCAACTATGATCGATAAAGCAACAGCAGTAACCTAAAGGTTATTCCTTTGTCAGACAACACTATCGGGAGGCGCATTTCTGACATCTGAAAAGATGTAAAGGAACAGCTTAGTGACAAGATACGAGACAACCATTTTGCTCTGCAGATGAAGCAACTGACAGAAACAAAGACTGTTTATTGATAACATGTCAGATTCATTGATGGCGATGATTTGATAACTAAAAGAGCCACTGCAGTCGAATTGTTCATGAATCATTGACACTTACTTGAAAGAGGCTGATCTGAAATGAGAGGATTGTGTTGGGATATGCACAGATGGGGCTCAGGCAATGGCTGGGAAACGAAGAGGGCTGCAAGCATTAGTCAAGCACGTTTCACCGATTGCACAGTGGACACACTGTATGATGCACTGGGAAGCGCTAGCATCTAAAGAGATGAGTCCCAAGCTTAAAGATGTAAGGCAAGTTATTAGCGCCACCATAAACTAAATCAAAACAAGACCGGTCAATTTTTCCACTGTGTGAGGAAAGGGGATCTGATCACCCAGCAGTTTTGTTTCACAGCGAGTCCCGTTGGCTGTCACATGGGAAGGTTCTATCCAGGGTGTTTGAACTGAGATCAAAACCTTCTTGGAGGAAGAGAGAAATGAACTTGCCCATAAGTTCAACAATAACAATTTTCTCATGAAACTTGCATACTTCAGCGACAGGTTTCAAAAACTCAATGAACTAAATCTGCAGCCAACACACACCTTCCATAGCTGGCAGATGAAATCACATCAATCACAAGAAAACTAGAAAGGGGGGAATGTAGACTCATTTGAGAGCTTGAAATCATTCATTGAGGTCAACAGGCTGCATAACAAAAACATTTCCAGAGCTATTTCCCAGTACAGGATCCTCCAAAATATGACTGGATTCGAGACCCCTTCAAAGCAACACCAGCTGCTGACTTGAGCACAGCAGAAGAGGAACAGTTCATAGATGTCACCTCTAATGAGACTTCAGTTTAAGTCAAATACATTAGCTGCATTTTGGAATGGAGTGGAAAAGGACTGCCCACTGCTCTGCAGGAGAGCCCTGGCCGTACTCCTTCCTTTTGCCACATCATACATATGTGAGGTTTTTCTGCAGATGCTTCAAGACAAAATACAGATCGAAGCTGGACGTTGAAAATGAGCTAAGAGTTGCAGTCTCATGGCGGCATCCCTGAATTTGAGAAGATCTGCAGCACAAAACAAGCATTGAAAAGACTGTTTGACTATTAAGCATAAGTCTAATTTCTATAATTCAAAAATGTTCATTTTTGTGCAGAGGCAAGTTTGAAAATTTGTTGAAAGCATTTTTTGAAGTTGTAATTACTGTGTTATTACAATGTTTCAAATAAATCCTATAGGATTTTGCAAGCAAGGTCATGTCTGAGATTGTCTTTATGTCGGTGCATGTAGGTGGGGGGCTTAAAAATATTTTTCTGTACAAAAGGGGGACCCAGGAGAAAAAGTTTGGGAATCACTGCCCTAAAGGAATGGTTGAGCCATATTTACAGATGGAACTAGAATGTCATAAAGTCTTGCAACAACCACCCAGAACCCCTTAGCAATGCACTGGTAACCACCTAGAACTTTGTATTTGTGACCCTGGACCACAAAACCAGTCATAAGGGTCATTTTTTCGAAATTGAGATTTATACATCATCTGAAAGCTGAACAAATAATATTTCCATTGATGTATGGTTTGATAGGATAGGACAATATTTGGCCGAGATACAACTATTTGAAAATCTGGAATCTGAGGGTGCAAAAAAAATCAAAATATTGAGAAAATCGCCTTTAAAGTTGTCCAAATGAAGTTCGTAGCAATGCATATTACTAATCAAAAATAAAGTTTTAATATATTTACGGTAGGAAATTTACTAAATATTTTCATGGAACATGATCTTTACTTAATATCCTAATGATTTTTGGCATAAAAAAAAAAAAAAAAAAAACCCATACAATGTATTTTTTGGCTATTGCTACAAATATATCCCAGCGACTTAAGACTGGATTTGTGTTCCAGGGTCACATTTGTGCTTAACAATTTAGCACATAAGCACGAAAGCACCACTCACATTTTCTCTAGAAAAAAGTAAAAATTCAGTTGCCCATGTGTGTTGATGTCAGTTTCTGATTTATTATTTGTAACACTTTTGTAGAAATTGCAGTGGGGATTGAGGAGGGACTTCCCTAAAAGATTTTGTATAATTCTCCTTTCTTCTCCAAGACTTCATAAAATGTGATCCTTGTGTTGCTGTTGTTAATATTACAAACAACATTACACAGGATTGACATATCAATTGTTTTTCGGGTTATATAATGAACTGGTATAATTTATAGTATTATAGTGACTTAAATTATAAATCAGTGTGGTACGTATAAATCCAAATGTTTACCTGATAGCAAACTGCGCATACATCTATTCACTGAGATACAGACAGATTGTGTGCAGTTGCCCTGTTGAGACGGGAGACTCTTTAAGCTGCCTGATCAGTGTAAATCGTTGTTTTATATAAGTAAACCACATGATTATTTCTTATGGTATATGTGTGTGAGAAAGTAAAGGAAACCAAATAAGTTATAGTGTGGTTGCTTAGTTATCTGATTATGGATGAAATGCTGAAGTAATTGTTATTTCTTATTCATGTATGTTAGCATAACACAATACCGTTCAAAAGTTTGGGGACAGTAAGATTTTTATTTTTATTTATTATTATTTTTTAAGACATCAATTCTTTTATTTGTCAAGGATGCATTTAATTGATAAAACGTGACAGTAAAGGCTTGTATGTTGTTATATACATATTTTTTTCAAATAAACACTGTTCTTTTTAACCTTCTATTCATCAAAGATTCCTGAAAATTATGTATCAGTTTCCACAAAAATATTAAGCAGCCATTTTCAACACTGATAATAATAAGAAATGCTTCTTGAGCATATTAGATAGATTTCTGAAAGATAATATGACACTGAAGACTGGAGTAATGACTGCTGAAAATTCAGCCTTGTCATCACAGAAATAAATTACATTTAAAATATGTTAAGTAGAAAACCGTTTTCTAAACTGTAATAATGGTAACACTTTATTTTAAGGTGTCCTTGTTACACATGTTACATGTACTTACGATTATAATAACAATTAATTATGCATAATTACATGGAAGTAACCCAAAGCCAAAGCCAAATCCTAACCCTAACCATATAGTAAGTACATGTAGTTAATTAATATTACTCAGTACTTAAATGTATAATTACACTGAAACAAGGACACCTTAAAATCAAGTGTAACTGTAATAATATTTCACAATATCATTGCTTTTACTATAGTTTAGATTAAATAAATACAGCCTTGGTGAGCATAAGAGACTTCTTTCAAAAACATTAAAAACATTTTACCGTGTTCAAACCTTTAAACGGTAGTGTATGCTGGAAAAGGGAATGCATCTCTTTTTGTAGTAGTAAAACAGCATACAACTAAAATTTTTATTGTGGGACCCCCAAAGTAATAAAAGTATGACATGAAAGTGTGTGTATCAACAAAGTGTACTGTAGAACATGTATTATATTTGTAAATATTCTGTGCATGTGTGTGTGTGTGTGTGCTCTAATTTTTTTAATTGCTTTGCGTGTTTGTGGATGTGTATCCTTGAGCAGGTATGAACATTATCACTTGTGCGGCAGACTGTATATTCCTTGTTGTGTTTGTCTCCTCATCTTCCCACAGGGCTGAAAACCATTGTGGGTGCTCTGATCCAGTCAGTGAAGAAGCTGTCAGACGTGATGATTCTGACTGTGTTCTGTCTGAGTGTATTTGCCCTCATCGGTCTACAGTTGTTCATGGGTAATCTTCGCCAAAAATGTGTCATCTGGCCATTCAACCAAACTGAATCCTACCTAGCCAATGGGAGCAGAGGCTTTGACTTCAATGAATACATCATGAATGACAGTAAGTATAGGCAAAGCTTTGACTTCATAGGGTAGTTTCTAATACAGTTGCGTCAAGCAGTGCTGTCCTCAGCTTTTTTATATATTTTTTAAGATATGCTTTTATATAACAGTTTTTCCAAATACGTTTTTACATACTTTTCATATTGGAAAATGCTAAAAATTAGTAGATTTTTTGGGTGATTTTTGCCTTGGTTTTCACATTTTACAAGTATATCTTCTCTCTGCTCTTTTCACAGCAAACTTCTACTTTCAGCCAGGCATGCTGGATGCACTGCTGTGTGGAAACAGCTCAGACTCAGGGTGAAGAGTGAAAACATACACAGACAAACACACAATATTCCCAATACTAAATTAGCAACAATTATTTAATTTTATTTAAGTCTGAATTGTAAAGTCGAAATATTTATTTCCAAATAATAGCGCACTTGATGCCCTTTTCAATGACCTTTTATTGTTAAGGTATGATCTGTTAGACAAAAGCACAGAAATATTTGTTATTTGTAGTATAGTGTGTGTGTGTGTGTGTGTTTGTGTAGGCGGTGGCCAGAGGGCTATACTTGCATGAAGGCTGGACGCAACCCAAACTATGGCTATACTAGCTTTGACTCCTTTGGTTGGGCTTTTCTTGCTCTCTTCCGACTCATGACACAAGACTTCTGGGAGAATCTGTACCAACTGGTGTGCATTCATTCCTCTCACTCTCACTCTTGCTCTGTTTTTGATTTACTTCTGGTCCTGTTTCAGCACTATTCCATATCTTACTAGTTTATTATGATGATTTGGATGATTTTCTTGTTGTTATTTTTGTCATTTCACCTCACCATGTTGCATATTTAATATTTAAAAAGGTGTCCAGTTATCATCATGGAAATAACTATTATTACTAATAATTTAGCATTTTTCAATCACATTTTGTGTAAAAAAAAAAAGAAAGAAAAAAAGCCATAAATAGTTCATGGGTTCATGTCATTCCAAACCTGTTCAACTTTCTTTCTTCTGTGGAACACAAAAGAAGATATTTTGAAAAATGTTGGTAACCAAACAATTCTGACTTCCCGTGTAAAAAAAAAAACATTTTAAGTTGAGAGTAAATTATGACAGAATCAGTGATATTGAGATACTATTATAGTTTTTGTTCAATTTATATTTAATTTTTTATATTTTCTGATTGTTTTTGTCATTTTTATCAGTTTTTGTTTTATGTCTATTTTTTATATTTAATTTTTATTTCAGTTAACATTTAATTTTATGGTTTTAGTTTTAGTTAACTATAATAACCCTGGACAGAATTTACATTTTTGGGTGAACTTTCCCTTTTATTATTTAATTTTAATTTTATTTAGAAACAAAGTCAGGTTAATAGAGTTGACAGAATAACTGTAATTTCTTGACATTTCTTCCTCATTTTTTAAACCAGGGTGGTTTTGTCAGGTTTTATTGAACTCACTGTCCTCAGTTGGAGGTAAAAGGCAATTCATAGTTTAGAAGTTTGGGGTGGCACTTAGGTTGGCCAACCAAATTTTGGGGGTGGCATTGGATACGCCCCTGATATTGCATACAGTAAACCTACTGAATACTGCAAGAAAGTAGTATGATATTATGCTGTTTCAAACATAGTAATAGAAGCTTCTTTCTCTTAGACTCTGCGAGCCGCAGGGAAGACGTACATGATCTTCTTCGTACTGGTGATCTTTGTGGGATCGTTCTACCTGGTGAATCTGATCCTGGCTGTGGTAGCCATGGCTTATGAAGAACAAAACCAGGCCACTATGGAGGAAGCAGAACAGAAGGAGGCTGAGTTTAAAGCCATGCTGGAACAGCTGAAGAAACAACAGGAGGAGGCACAGGTACACAAATACATGCATACAACAAGCTGAATTAGTCAACTTCCCTACGCTTTTTTGCTCTCATGTTCATTCTGTTTCTTGTCCTTTTGTCCCTCATGACTAGGCCAATGCCATGGCAACCTCGGCAGGTACAGTATCTGAGGATGCAGTAGAGGATGACGGAGGAGGGCATCTGTCCCGCAGTTCCTCTGAGGTGTCCAAGCTGAGCTCCAAGAGTGCCAAGGAGCGACGGAACAGAAAGAAAAAGTTGAGGAAAGAACAGGAAGAGAAGGGTGACAGTGAGAAGGTGGTAAAGTCAGAATCCGATGACGGCAGCAAGAGGAGCCGCTTCCGTTTCAGAGACAACAGGCTTGGGCGGAAGGCCTCAATCATGAACCAGGTGAAAGTGGGGTTATTTCCACAGAGGCCCACATAAACATATTTACCACATGATCTTATATATGATATACAGTGGTGTGAAAAAGTGTTGGCCCCCTTCCTGATTTGTTATTTTTTTGCATGTTTGTCGCACTTTAATGTTTCAGATCATCAAACTAATTTAAATATTAGTCAAAGATAACACAAGTAAACACAACATGCAGTTTTTAAATTAAGGTTTTTATTATTAAGGTAAAACAAAGGGCTGTAGTACTCGAGTCTGGTCTCGTTGGTGTTTGCACTCGGACTTGTCTCGGACAAAACCACATTTGCATGTCGTGCCTGAAAACGCGTGGAAAGCGCCCTCTTTGGACTCGGTCTTGACTCAGTCTCGACTACTCCTGGTCTTGGACTTGTCTTAGACTCGACAAAGCTGGACTTGACTACAGCTCTAGAAAATACTCTGTGGACTGACGAGACAAAAGGTGAACTTTTTGGAAATTTAAAGTGTGACAAACATGCAAAAAAATAAGAAATCAGGAAGGGGGCCAACACTTTTTCACACCACTGTATGTCTGGCAAGGCAATGATTGCTTGAATGAATTTCACAAGGAGGAAATCATTATGTTCATTCAGACATTAGTTAAGGAGCAGATCGATATAAGAGGTGTTGTTCTTTGTTGTCATCATTGAATTATTCTTTTTGTTCATTTGACCTATTTTTTGTAGTTTTATCTGTGTGTCTTTATTAAGATAAAAGTAGCACTTAAATACCTTTTTTGTGGCTTTTATTCCATGTCTGATAGCTATGAGACTTTTTATGAGCAGATATACGAATAATGGACATGTCCTATGGTGAGACAAGCTGTACTACATCTAAAATGATTTTAAACAACATTTTGCTAATTTTTTAATAATTATTATGCATGCAGCTTTTATGACCTTAAACTTATTTGTATTCCATGGAATATTCCCATTTTTAAAAATAAATTTGTCACACCAAAGGACCATTTAAAATGAGCTAATTCAAACAAACAAAGTGGTCAAATGTTTTGACTGTTTATAGAATATATATATATATATATATTTTCCTTTAAACTTACACAACAATTCTCAATGCACAACAAAACCTTAATTATTTCATTATACATGTCAATAGATATGTGATGCACCTTCTTTGAAAATGGACCAGAAATATCATCTTTGAAATATCAAAACTCTTGTTCCACTGGGGCTTATACATATTTTGTTGAATAAAATACCCTCTAGAATAAGATCACCTCCCCCTTAAACATAAATACCACCTACCATCAGCAAATTACAGTTTTCTGTTTCCCATTGAATTTTGCCATGCATGTTTGTTTGATAGACAGTATTTTATTATTAGCATTAATGATTTAAAGCTAATCTCTACAACTGCGCTCTGCGATTATACTGACATGTTTCTTTTGCAATCTTTTTTTTTACGTTGCAATAGCAAGCCGATATAACCTCTGGTGTTTGCTATCATGGCCCAGTTGAGCCCAGCCCAGCCCTTGATACTACTGTTCTCTGCTCTGTGCAGTCGCTACCACTTTCCGCTGAGTCATTGTCCATATCACCAGGGTGATTAGACAAAGTGCTTCAGCCTTACACTCAAAGATCAGAAGAAGAGGAACTGCTCTTGCTCAGTGCCCATCTATCTATCGCTGTAATTCTTTCCATCTCATTCATTGTCTTGCTTTGGGCAGGATTTATGATTGTACATTTCTCTTTATGTCTAAAAGCTCAGTTAAATAACTCGAAACTACAATAAACCTGGTGCTTTTGAGGTATTTAATTTGATCCCTCTGTCATCTGTTCATTTTGTCACCTTTCTCTGGTTTACAGAAGAATGCTTAGCCATTCTGAGGGCAGTAGGAACACCCATTTAAGATCTGTGTATGTTGTTGTGTAGAGATGTGAAGTATGGCACGGGAACGCCATACTTTCACTGGTCCTATGAATTATTTAACCACACGCTATAAATCTTTCATCAAATGAAAGCAGTAATATAGTGTGCTTAAGCAGGAAGTTATACTCCTGGGCCCCACCCTGCAAATTCTGCTCAGATCAACCTCACAACAATGGATAAAAGCACCTTATTAGGCAATCTCTGCCTTTAATTGGAAGCTGGTTTCATGACATTAGTTATTACAGTGTGACACAACATTTTACCCCTGGTAGAGTTTTTTTTGTTCTCCTTGGATTTAGCACAGAAAGCCACTTACTGTTATGGATATTTAAGTAACACTATGCAATCTCCATATGATTTCTCCTTTGTAGCACTGTGGTCTCAACCCTTTACCAGATCAGCCCACTTCTCCTTAGTGAGTGATCTGAGTAAAATAGTCCCTGCTGAGAGCACATTTGGGCCTCTTTCTGCTGTACATAGTCTGCAGTGGTCAACCGCTCCATTAGGGAGAAGACTCTCAACCGCAGCGCAGAGAAAACGCCTGCGCTAGCAACTAGCATTCTGCATTATCAGTGAATTTCAGCAAACAGTTAGAACAATATTAGTGGTCTCAACTAGTTTCTTGGATCATCTGTGAATTTCAGATGGGAAGTGAATTTAAGCCAGAAGGGAGCATTTTGCAGTAGGATAAATGCTTCTTTTTGCAAGAGTGCGTATGTACTTATGAGAACACTTCCGTAATGTTAAGTGTTTCCAGGCGAAATAAATAATTTGTTGGATTGTAAAGTGTGGGTGTTACAATATACCAGAATGTATTTTATATTTAGTTATATTGAATCATATTAAGCAGTGTTATTTTAGTATTAATAGTTTACTATTAAAATTATAGTATTTATAATTTTTTTATTTGTTTTTATTTTGTATTTCTATTTTTTGCATTTTTAATTTGTCATTTTGTTGTGTGCTTTTGTCATTTTATAAGCTTTTTAAAATGTCTGTTCAGCTTTAATTTATTTTTATTTCAGTTTTAGTAATTGCAGTACTTCAACTAAAACATATTTTATTTCACTTAGTTGCCAAGGCAACATTTCCAGTTAATCTAATACTTACATTTTATTTCAGCTTTATTTAATATAACTAAATATGTGATATCCGACAGCTATTTAGCAATCTCTTTAGCATTTACTCTTACATTCAGCTTTACTTCAATGAACAAAAACAGTTTTAAATAGTGTTAGTTTTAGTTAACAATGACAACACTATTATGAAGATTATGAAGATAATTAAAAGGTTACAAAGACAAACATTTATTTGTAATAAGCTGAATTATTGAATTCATATAAATAGTCATAATAAAAACAAATAAATAAAAATATCAGGAATAAGACAAGATTCTTGTCATAAGACAAGAAACATGGTCTGTTTTAATTGAACTTTTTTGTTTTAATTTTACTTGGTTCTGTTTTATGAAAGAATAGAGAACAATTGCTCTCTGAATACCAGAAGTTACCTGCAGTTAGCTGTTAAATGATTCATTTAATGACTTTGGTCAGCAGTTTTGGAGTTTTCAGAGTCACTATTTGGTGGACAGTATGTGGAGTCGTCGACAGACCACTTAGAATGTTTATTTGTCACACTCGCTTCTTACACTCACTGAAGATTCTTCATTCTCTTGTGTGCTGTCCTTCTTTTTTACAGTCCCTGTTGAGCATCCCTGGTTCACCCTTCATGTCCCGCCGCAGCAGTATATTCAGCTTCAAGGGCTCGGAGAACGAGTTTGCAGACGATGAGCACAGCACGGTCGAGGAGAGCGAAGACCGCCGCGGCTCCCTCTTTGTCCCGTACAGGCGCAGCAGCTATAGCGGCTACAGCCAGGGTTCCTCACGCATTAACCCACTGGCACCCCACCCAGGCTGCAAGAGAAACAGCACGGTGGACTGCAACGGCGTGGTGTCTCTGATCGGGACTGGGCCTGGCCGGCTACTGCCTGAGGTGAAAATAGATAAGGCAGCTTCAGATGACAGTGTAAGGACGTCCACGGGGGGCAGGTTCAGAGTATAGGCATGACAAGAGTGGCCGATTATGATTCCAGTTCAGATTTGTCCTCTCTTTCCCTTTTCGTTTACCCCATTTTGACTCTGTCCTTCTAAGTCTCTGAGTTTCTAGTCTGTCTATTTTCTCTCAACTCCCTTCAACTACCTTTATTGTCTCTATTTTAATTTTTTTATGCAAGTCTTGATCAGCAAACCTACCAGTCCCACTCCCTGCCAGTGCTCTCCCTCTGTGAATGGCATGGCCAATCAAAAAAAGAAACTGGGAGAGTTTTCGAGGGGTCCCTTTTCACACATTAATGCCCATGCTGTAACCCCTCCCCTTTCAACCTAATTTACCTAATAATTACATTGCCACATTATATAAGATACTTATAATATTCTTCAGGCTAAACTTAACCCATTCCTTCACGTCAACCACAATCTCAAAATTATCATTTTATTTATTTATTTTACATAATAGAAATTTTCCACCTCGATTTATTTATTTATTTATTTGCAGAATTTCAGGACCTCATAGTTCCCTCCAAAAAAGTTTGATGCAAGAAAAACCTATCCTAACCTTTCCAATAACAGCATTCTGCCTCATTTTAGTTAGCATGGTGGATTGACATCCTTGTACTCTCTTTGCCTTCTCCTCCTGTGTGGGAAGCATGATTTGGTGCCCAGATATCACCCAACTTCATAGCATGCTGTAACTAAACTAAACTAAACATGCTACTGTCACCAAGTAACTGCATTTTAAAATCTAGATGATCTTTAAAACTAAAAGGAACAATAAAGATAAACAGATAAACATTGGCTTGACCAACACCCACAATATAAAGTGAATTGATATTCAAGAGACTTTTCTAATGGCAGTGAAAACTGGGCCTTAAGCAATGTGTGAATTTTCTTCTTGCATGATAATATTCTCTTGAGAACAAGTAGGCAACCTTTTGAGCAGCTAGTAGTGATGAATGAATATTCTTGTAACTGTAGTAAATAAATAGGTGTCTTTCATTCACAATCTCAGATGTAGAGCTGAATGAATAAATCACCAAAACTGAAAAAAATAAAATAAAAACATCCAGCTCCTGTCAAACTTAAAAACGAAAAAACAACAACAAAAACAATAACAGCATACAGGTTTAGAACTACATAAGGGCAAGAAAACAATAACTGTGATTTAATGGATTAAGGATAAGGATTAAAAAAAAAAATTTTACTCTCAATTTCTACCTGATAAAATTATTAAAGCTTGGCCTAACTAGAAAAATGTATATTCATAAAACGCCTATAGAGCTATAAGATTTTATTAGATTACATTACTTTTCCAGGTCTAGAAATCACACTTATAATTAGATATATGAAGGTTTTTCAAGACCTGGTTCTTGAAAGGGAAAAAAGCAGTTGTTGATCAGGTCAATTAAAATAAGAATTATCTTGTTTGTGGTTTGTCTTATTTTAAATAATTTTAGTCATCTTGAGGTCCTCCTGGTTGAGAGCCACTACTCTAAGGCTTCAATTATTTATATAATTTATATATATTCATATATACTTCATCTAGTGTTTAAAAGCTTAGAAGAGTTGAAGTCAAAGATGGAAATCTGCATTTATTTTAACTGAATGTTATGACTTCAGATTGCTACAGTTGGGTGTCTGTAAGAGAATTTGTTATGGTAGGTCCAAATGCCATTGTCTTGCAAAAATCAAATTGTATTTGAGTAAAGCCAGTTTGAAAAGAGTTTAGGTACAATACTTTACAGTGTATTTTAGAGAGAGAGAATCCACATAGGAATGTATCAGAGAATTCAGCTGTGTATAAATGCAACAATAAAAGTTATGTATGAGTTGCAGGTTAATTCGGGCTTGTGTTTTTGTCAGCATGTGCATGTGTGTTGGCATGGGTTAAAATGTTTCTTGAAAAAAATCCCATCTCTAATTGTTTTTTTTGTCTTTCTCCACCTTATGTCACTCTTGTCCACAGACCACAGAGGTGGAGGGTAAGAGAAAACACTCAGGTTCTCTTATGGTGTCAGTGGACCAGCTCAATACTTCCTTTAGCCGGAAAGAGCGAGCCAACAGTGCAATGACTGTTGTCACCAACACGCTGGTGGAAGGTATTGTGTAACATCTGCCTGTCTGTATTAATGTTGCCAAAACATAGTAAAACAGTAATAATATATAATCAGTTATAATAAAATCATTTTATAGTTCCATATAGATTCATATTACATATTTTCTTACTCATAATATAGGCCTCAACATATTCCTCTTTTCCTTATTATTTTTGTCATCACAGAGCTGGAGGATTCTCAGAGAAAATGTCCACCCTGCTGGTATAAATTTGCCAACACATTCTTAATATGGGAGTGCTTTCCACTTTGGATAAAGATAAAAGAGATAGTGAACCTCATAGTGATGGATCCGTTTGTAGACCTAGCTATCACTATATGTATTGTGCTGAACACAGTCTTTATGGCTATGGAGCATTATCCCATGACACCACACTTTGAGGAGGTGCTTTCTGTTGGAAACCTGGTAAGACTGTGTGTGTTTTTTCATTTTCTTTTATAGTTAGTTCTTTTTTTTATAAAAATTACCAATGTACAACTGAACTGATTGCAAAAAAGAAATGGCTTTCTAACTGTTAGGATCTCTGTAATTTTGTTTCACCAATTATGGTTCTGGACTTTATACTAACATCTGTTTACTTGCATAAAGAAAACCTGATCAAATGTAATTAATTATGCACAATGAGTGGCACATTATTTTTAATGGATTTATTTAATTTGAGGTATATTTTGCAATTTTATTTTTAATGTTCTGTTTCTGTGGTATTAATGGTAGAAAGGTCTAAATGTACTTTTTCCTAAGTTGAAACAAAACACAAATATTCTGACTCCTTTATTTGCCATGACAATGTGATTTCGAATATAATTATTTGAGACTTTTCTCAGCAAATGTATATATATATACATATGTTTGATTGATTAGCATATCATGTAATTAATTTAATTGCATTTTTTAATCAATTGACAGCCCTAAAGTCAGTTGTTTCCTTTTTCAGTCCTAACCATCTCCCCATTTTCGTAATGAGCAGTAATACTGGACACTGTGCCACATTTCCATTTTAAGTTATGTCTCTGGCAGTGCAGCACAGATGTCTACTCCTCAGTATGTGATGGACCTACAATGAAAATGCAGCCTGCATTAAACCAGTCTTTTACCATTGTTCTAGTTTCTTCTATCTTCCACTACCCATCCATTGCTTCTTGTTTCCAATTTAGTGATCTCACAGTATTCATGCAACAGGCACAATCAATGTTTGTTGTTGAGGTTATCTTAATGACATTTTTCTTTGTTTTCTTTTTATCTCAGGTGTTCACAGGTATCTTCACAGCTGAGATGTTTGCCAAGCTGATAGCCATGGATCCATACTACTACTTCCAGGAGGGCTGGAATATCTTTGATGGCTTCATTGTGAGCCTGAGTTTGGTGGAGCTGGGGCTTGCTGATGTAGAGGGGCTGTCTGTGCTCAGATCCTTCAGATTGGTGCGTTATGAGTGAAGACATGTCCATGCACGTTTTTATACGATAGATAGTAATACATTTTATTAGAGATGTGCATTCGTGCACTCATGCATTCTCCCTTCTTATACCAACACTAAACTTTTAAACGGTAGAGTAAAATGTCCCTTATTTTCTGATTCCAAACCTTTTGTGAATCCCAAACTTCTCTCTCATGCAGCTGAGGGTGTTTAAGCTGGCTAAATCATGGCCCACTCTGAACATGCTGATCAAGATCATTGGTAACTCTGTGGGAGCTTTGGGAAACCTGACCCTGGTGCTGGCCATCATCGTCTTTATCTTTGCTGTGGTGGGCATGCAGCTGTTTGGAAAGAGCTATAAAGACTGTGTGTGTAAGATTGCCGTGAGCTGCGAGCTGCCCCGCTGGCATATGAATGACTTTTTTCACTCCTTCCTTATTGTGTTCCGGGTGCTATGTGGAGAGTGGATCGAAACCATGTGGGACTGTATGGAGGTGGCTGGACAAACAATGTGTCTCACCGTATTCATGATGGTGATGGTCATTGGAAACCTGGTGGTGAGTTTTAGAGTTCTTCTCTGCTCAGTTACTTTCCCATGTTGCAGTTCTTCCCACTTTTTTTGTCACTATTTCCTTCCTCACTGTAAGAAATGTCCTGCAAGGCTGCAAGGTATCCCACCTGTCATTTTGTGCTTCAAAAGGATGTTTGAACCAAAAAATGACAAATGGGACAGCCTATGGTCTTGTGGACTGCAAGTCTTCATCATATGTAAAAGCTAAAGCGGTGATCTTCTCTTGATCAGGTGCTGAACCTATTCTTGGCCTTGCTGCTCAGCTCCTTCAGTGCTGATAATCTAGCAGCCACAGATGATGACGGTGAGCTGAACAACCTGCAGATTTCAGTGATTCGCATTAAGAAGGGTATCGCTTGGTTCAAAGTTCACGTACGTCTCCTGGTGGACCACATTCTGAAGAAGAAACCTTTGGAAGACGAAGACAAACCTCTTGATGACATGTATGACAAAAAACTCAACATCATAGGTAACCACACCGGCGTTGACATCAAATATGGCGATCTGAACTACCCCAAGAATGGTAATGGCACCACAAGCGGCATTGGAAGCAGCGTAGGAAAGTACATGATTGATGAGGAGCCCATGTCCTTTATACACAACCCCAACCTAACTGTACGGGTTCCCATCGCTGTGGGAGAGTCGGACTTTGAGAACCTCAACACAGAGGACTTCAGCAGTGAGTCGGATGTGGAAAACAGCAAAGATGTGAGTATTACTAAAGTCCCTTTTAAAGGGGTCATCGGATGCTACATGCACTTTTACAAGTAGTTTGAACTGAAATGTGTGTTGGCAGTGTGTGTACACAACCACCATATAATGATAAAAATCCACCCAGTGTTTTTTTTTTAAATCTACTAAAATCTTTACCCCTTTCTCAAATCGAGCCGATCTCAGATGCCTGTTTGTGTGACATCACACAGACAGGCCCCTCCCACAATAGTTTGATTGACAGTAGCATTTCAGCACAGACTGGACTGGTGTCTTACTTTAGACCCGCCCTGAGTGAGCTGTCATCAGTCCGCCATAGTTTCACCGCCGGAGCAGATGTAGACAAGAATGTCTCCTAAGTGATTGAGGTGTTCTGTTGTTGGATGTAATAATGAACATAGCAGTCGTCATTTACTCCTGACATCTGAGCTGCTGAAGATGCAGTGGATTACATTTGTTTCTGAAGGGAATGCACCCCCGATCTACCTAAATGCGTCTATGTTCGCGCAAATCATTCATGATCCAGCTTCACCTACAGAAGAAGTGAGTATAAGGTTTTTTAATGAATCTTTGCAGATCGCCTTTCCTAATAATGTGCTAATTAGCAAGTTTCACGATGAATGCGCCTAAAGTAAACAGTCCCTCAGAGAGCAGCTCGGAAGAGAGGGGCGGGGTCAGCAGAGCTAATTTGAATTTAAAGGAAAATGCTACAAATCGGCTTGCTCTGAAAAGAGCTGTTTTTTCACAGGGTAAAAAAGGTGTTTTTTACACTACCATTGAGAAATTTTAACCAAACTATGTTACAGACTTTTCATTAAGACCCTAAAGAATCATATCAACTTGTGGAAAATGGGCATCCGATGACCCCTTTAAGGAAAGTCAATTCACTTGGCACTATTTGCAATGCCTCCAGGTAGCTATTTCCACAGTGCAAGACCAACTCCTATCTACTTGAATGGGGAAATGCTGAAATCTTAAAATCTGCTCGCCAATTTCACATTTAAATAACATATTTAAAATCAGACCTGAACTGTGCTATAAATCTTGTTTCTGATGCTCTAATAACATTAAAAAGCATATATTTTAAGGTCCAGCCAATGCGCATGTGCAGTCCTAAGCGTGAGTCTCAGGATACTACAAGTTTCTTTGGGAACTGGAGCTTCTAAGTTCTAACACCAGCTGCAGTGGCACAATGACTTTGCCAACTGGCGATTGGCCCTTTTATTTAGAAGGTGGGGCTTATTGCGCTTTGAAATTTCTCCCATTCATAGTAATATGAGTGGACTGTCTTGGTGTATGTTGTTGTTGTGGCAATACAAAATTTAAGGCAGCTTTGATGTGCTGTTTCGTATATACTGTATAAAACCAAAGCAGCATCAGCGTTGCCATATTAATGCTTTAATGCGGCATTGGATCTTTATAGAAAATTTGGAGGCAGCACAGTGTAAATGCACCTTTTGACTTTCCTTTGTATTTTAGGCTGATGAAAAGAGATAAAATTCTTAGTTGTTTTTAATTTACTGTTGAAGGAAACTCATTTTGGATTTAAAATATTTATTCTACAATCTTAAAAAGGTTATTTTGTGTATGTGTGTGTGTAAAAGCTAAAGTAATATGTAATGTGTATATATATACACACACATAGTATATAAGCTAAAGTAAACCAGAGGAAAATTGTATATAGCCCATACAGTATTCTTTGAGGAATTGAAAATGGCTTACTGCTGCTTACTGTACAGAATTCACAAGGATCATCATTTTGAACCCATGTTGCTTTTTGCATCCTTTCACTTTCAGAAAGAGTTGGCTTGTGTTTTCTGGCAGAGATAGACTTTCTTTTCCTGGCACATGGAAAATTATTGTGTAACATTCGGTTGCATCTCTTTATATATTTCCTGAGGCCATATTAGGGCTTTTTGATTAAAGATGACTTCTCTGTTAATAAAATGCCAAAAGAAGGCTCGTTGAGTCAGTAGAGCATGACTCAAATAAATATAGATAATCAGGACTGCATTGACTTGTACAGTCTTAGAGAAGCAAGCTAGTCATTTTTATTTTGTGTTTGATACTTTGACAAATGCATTATGCTCAAATGCAAATATTTTAATGAATCAAATGATGAAAAACTTTAATTAGGGAGTATGATCAAATTAAGTCAGTGTCAGTAGTTGATTACAGGCTGCAGATTACAGCAGTATGGGTGGATTAAGACTTTGCAGGCAGTATAAGAATGTTGAGTTGTGCTGTTCCTGTGATTTATTGCCTTGCTGAGTGCTGAGCCACTCAGCCAAAGAATAGATGCAGTCCACCAGATGATGTAATGTTTTTCCTTTGCGTGTGTGTTCAGACACGTGCATTTGTGTGTAAGTTTCAATATAATCAGGTTATTAAATCTGTGGTAGCAAGAGAGTAACAAAGAGCATAGCTAGCCACTAAAAGTTAATACTGTTTTATGTCTGTTTTAGCATGCTACCAGGCACAAGAATGAACCAGAAAACAATGTCAGCGATCACTTATCATCCAAAAACATTTGTAGTTCAAAATTTCAGTTTACCTGTGGCCCTTAAAGTGAGGATCAAGCGTGAATTCACGTGAATTGAGTATTATTGAGAACTGAGTAAGAAAAATAATGCACTTTTATAATAGTTATCATTGATATTAGCACACACATACATTTATACTGACTCTCCTGTCATTGTCCTGGTCTCTGTGTAAAGACTGGGTCACCTTGACCCAGTTTAGACGTAACAGATCCAGTACGGCTGAACTACACGTGCTGAACATCTAGCCAGTGGCATCACAGTAGATTATTCTTGTTAGCTAATCGGAGCAGTGCTGGCTGGCCCTTTATTTTTGATTGACCAGGCTGGGTCAGGGAGGACTGCAGTGGTGGTATGTAAGGGTTGTTTGATGCTTTTAATGCTTTAGACTGCTGGTGTGTGTGTGTATGTGTATTAACGATTCGGGTTTTATAAAACTGCTGTGTCATCCTGACCTGCTGTGATCAGGGTCAGGCTTTTCCAGTAGGCTGAGGAATATGTTTTTTGTGTTTGTATGGGTATAATCACGTGCCTGTGTGTGTGTGCGCATTCTTTTTAAATTATGGTAGGGGATTGCAGTAAGAGAGAGTTTGATGACTGCACAAGGCTTATACGTCACATTTAAGTTGCTTCCTAGTAAAAATGTCATATATATCATATCATATCATATATCATATCATATCATATCATATCATAATAGCATATGTAGACATGCTAACATTTAATATGACAACTTGTAATAAATTAATAATCAGAAATAATGTCTCTGTATGATTATTTTATTATATTAGTATAAAAATGTGTATAATAATAAAATCAATAATAACATTTATTTATGTATCACATTTACCACTTGCTGGTAGTTTCAGTTTCACATAAAATTATTATAATTTTTTTTTTAGGTTTGGTGTTTTTAATTAATATTGTTTATAATGAATGCCACTACAATTTTTTTTTAAACCAGGAATTCTGGAGTGTAATAGCAAAATGTGACATATTTGTTTTTTTTGTTTGTTTGTTTTTTTTGACCCAATGCGACCTATAGTCAGGTGTGAATTATTTTCCGGATTATTGTTTATTTACAAATAATAATCAGAAATATCATTATTATTATTATTATTATTATAACAATGAATATTATATTGTATTAGATTATGATGGTAACAAATATATGTTGCCCCTTTTGTCTCATGCTTCAGTTGTTGTTTAGACATAAATACAGATGTGCTGTACCATAATATGTAACAAAAAGTAAATCAATACACAACACCTGATTTGCATAAAATACAGCAGAAAGTCATTCATCACTGTCTGATTTGCATATGTAGGCCCTAGATGATAGTTTTCAACCTTGTTAATTCAGATAGTGTTGAGTCAAGGTTAATTATGTCTTGGGTAGAGTGAATGCTAATTAAGCTAGACATCCAGAAGAACAATGAAGGTCAGTGCTAGGACACATCTGGCCTCAGTTTATAACTTACTAGTAGGTTAAATTTTTTGACTCACTGTTACTCATGTTCAGGTATATTATATTGTATCTTGCATTCAGGGATTTCTGTGAACTAACACAACAGCAGAAAGCAGTGATTGGAGGGTTGGAGTCAGGATCACCTTGTGTTGACCTTGTTTGTGATTATCTGTATTTTTTTGGAAAGCTCTTGTTGAAATAAATTGATAAAATAAAAGTGGAAGAATTAATCAAAATAAACCAAATGTATATGGATACATCTTTGTGTTTTTGTTTTCCTCTAGCTGGATGACACCAGCTCTTCAGAAGGAAGCACTATCGACATAAAGCCTGATGAGGAAGAACTGGCTGTAGTGGAGGTCGTGGAGGAGTACTTAGACCCAGACGCCTGCTGGACTGATGGTGAGCAATGCATGCATCTGTCAATTGTTTTAATTAATTACAATTAATAAATCAAATAAATCAAATGTATAAATATTTGCTGAGAAAAAATATATAATTCATTGTACAAAATAAGCATTCAATTGTATATACTGTACTGCACATTTAAGGTTCACTAGTAAAGCAGTAAATTTGTTTTAGCTTTAGATAATAAAGCATACATTGTGAGCATCGATTTTATGTAATGTGTATTCAGTATATGTGTAAAATGTTTTTCAGCCTGTGTGGCACGGTACAAATGCTGTGACGTGCCTATTACCGAGGGCTGGGGAAAGCACTGGTGGTTTCTGAGGAAAACTTGCTACCTTATTGTTGAACACAACTGGTTTGAGACACTCATCATTTTTATGATTCTGCTCAGCTCTGGAGCTCTGGTGAGGTCACACACATGCACACACGCTATACAGTTTCCAAAGAAAAAAGTAGAAACTGATATTATTTGCTGTTGTTCTCTCAAAAGTGCTAGGATGTAAACCACATTCCATGGAGGCAGTACATTGTTATTCCCTTCATTTTTGTAAAGAATTTGAAGCACATATTCCATGTTGTTAATAAATAAATAAATTAATTAAATTTATTGGCAATATTTATTGATACTCAGAAACCAACATTGATAACAAACTTGCTATCCCCTACTTAGTGGCTGCTTAATTTAGGCTAAATATTTCTTAAATGTTGTTGTTGTTGCTTTTTCATGTTGTTATTTATTATTTATTAAATGCATATTTCTAGAAAATGACAAAATCACACAAATAAAGGTTTAACATGCATTTAGAGGACTTTACGTTGGGGTTACAACAACAACAGGGTAACAATTCATGCAATATTTAGTTTGACCTTCTGAGGTAAAGCTTCTTTTTATCATTTACCATTGTTGAAAAAGGGGGGGGCGGGGGGTATTTAAAAAAAATTTTTTTTGAAGAGTTAAAGAGTTCTTATTTTACACCCAGGTTGTTGAAAGTGATGCAAATAACCTTTATGCATGTTACAGATAAATTAGTTATTTAATTCTCTATAAATTAGACCAAAAGTGGAGACCTCAAAAATGTCCATTGATTTTTGAACATCAGTGATAAAAATTTGCAGAAGATGAAAGAATTAAAAACTGAGATAAAGATTCTGAAATAGGATTGGAAGATACATGGGCACAGTGTAGATATCTCAACCTTTCACAATGTATATGTGCAAAACTAATGCGATATAATGCTAGTGCAGGTAGATTTTTAATGTGATTGAGGAGGCATAGCATGCTGTGTGGTATATGATCTATGTAAGTAGCTAATGGCTATCACTATATTGCACTGTACCGGCTCCTGCATCTCAGCAGTCTGTCTTGGGGCTGCAGTATCTCATGTCTGCTGTTAGGGACCGTAGCCAAGTGCTGTAGAAATGGCCACATGCAGACAATTCTGCTGCCCCTCTGACAGCTACTGTTAGGGATCGTGCCCAAACTCCCACTAAAGTGAAAGTGTAAGCTAATGTAAGTGGGGTTGCAGTGCCACCCTTTGGTGATGTCAGGGACTGAATTTGATTGTGGGAAAGATGCAGTTGATAAATCTTCAATTAAACAAACTAATTGAAAATAATTTTGACAAACATGCATCAAGATTTAGTTACCATAATTGACTTTTGTAGCAATGTAAATTTAAAAATGTTTTCATGTGAATTACTATTACAAAAATAGAAAGTAGAATTGAACATTCAGAAACACTGTGCTAATTAAATGAAAAAATCCTCTTTCTCTGTTTTGTTTCTAAGGCATTTGAGGATGTATACATCGAACAGAGGAAAACCATCCAGGTCATTCTAGAATATGCAGACAGAGTCTTCACATACATCTTCATCCTGGAAATGTTGCTGAAATGGGTGGCCTATGGCTTTGTCAAATACTTCACCAATGCATGGTGCTGGCTGGACTTCTTCATTGTGGATGTAAGTAACTTACAGTAATATCCATAAATCACAGCTGTTATCCCTTGCACCACATCACATCAGATGGATTATTCTGCAGAAATATGCAGTAGTTTTGAGTATTTCATGGTGCACTGTCAGTCCTTTTGGCTATGAATTATATTATTCTCAATACAAACAAACATGTTTTTCTATTCTACTCCTCTTGGTCCTTGTGGTCTGCTCTGAGGTCAGTGGTCATTGTCTTCAGACTGATCTTAAAATTAGATTTGATCTTCACCGGTAGAGTGCTCGGGTGCTGAGGCGCACTCAGTTTAGTGTTTATTAGTCATGTTTCCAAAATATGTATACTAATAATATTTATTTATTCTTGTTATATGTACTGATGTTATGGAAAAACATTTTTCCCCCAAATTGTTTTTCAGAAATTGTACAGAAACATTGTTACTAGTGACATTGTTATCTTGTTTTATTTTTAGATATATGATGTATTTCAGTGTATTTCCCCCTTTTCATAGTATAAACATTAGAATCAGCAAAAAACTACTTAATGTGAATCTTAGGTGTATGAACAGATTGAGCCTGAATTTGTCTATTTGCAATCATGACATATGTAAATGTAAGAATATTGAAATTTTACATTTTAATTGTATCATTTTATATCTGTCATAGATAATTAATTTAGTTGAAACCACATAGAAAAATATTAACATTTAATATGATTCATTCATGTTACTTTTCCATATCTAAAGATTCAAGTGACTAAATTTTGCGTGATATCCAGGTTTAAAATCCAGCAAATCATCCAAAGTTCCCATATATAGGTTTCAAATTATTTTTGCATTTTTTAAATTAAAGTAATTGCAATTATTAATTAAAATTCATTATTAAATACTTTTTAATTCATTTCTATATTTGTAGAGTATTACTAATGCTTACAAAACATTGCTTTTTCACTTTGAAAGTGTTTTTATGGGAAATTTTCCTTGCTTTTTTAAAAATTAAATATCTACATAGACATACTTGTAAATTAACTTGCAAAAATGGGCCATTTGGAAATGGTTGACATGGTATTGACGTCAAAACCATTAACACGTCTAAATGACTGCCCACATTTATATACATAGCCTATTTTGGTTTGCAGCCACTTGGCAGGGCCGATTGTGTGTTTGACTACATGTCTATGTGGATATAAGTCCTAAACGAAAGTGTTTCCGATTGCTAGTTATTGTCCCTGACAGGCACTGTAACCTTGTCTCTCTATAGTGCTGATGGACACAGAGGGCCTGAGGGGGCATAAGAGGGCCGGGAAGTGAGGGACCAGGGTAAGGTCTCTGCTAGGACTCTCTTGTTCTTTTACAGGAGTTCCTCTCTCTCTCTGCCTCCTTACTCTCCCAAACCGACCTGTTATCCTAATGACTCTCGAATGGTCTCGTGTGTACCGTACACGGTTGGTGTTTGTACGTATTGTGTGTATCTTGTGTGTACAAAGTACAGTGAATGTGCTTGTAAGTTTGTTCACACCTCTTCTCTAAATGTGTCCCTTCACCTCTGTTTTTTTTGTGTTTCTCAACCAAAAGTTTCCTTCCAGGTTTGCTGTAAGCTGCTTTCCAAGCTTCGTCTGCCTGTGATACTAAAAACGAATCGCATACTAAGATCAAAAGTGCAAACATTTGGGTCGCCCAACATACAGTACCTATGACTGGTTAACCCCATGTTTAACCTGAATCTCTCTCCTCTCTCTCTCTCTCTCGCTCTCTCTCTCTCTCTGGTGTTGACTACACATATATGCATACATACATGAGCAAACTCTTATATATGTATGTATATATCTGTTTACTGCCTCTCCAGATCAGTGTCAACGTAGGGTCCTCTCTCTTTCTCCTTGACGTCCTCCTTGACTCTAACACTTTGGCCCATCTCTTTCTCTCTTCCTCCCTTCCTCTTTCTCTCTTTGTATAGGTGTCAATAGTCAGCCTTATAGCTAATGCGCTGGGCTACTCAGACTTGGGCCCCATAAAGTCCCTGAGGACTTTGAGGGCTCTCAGGCCCCTGAGAGCTTTGTCCCGGTTTGAGGGCATGAGGGTAAGATCCAGGGCTGCCCTATGCATGCCAGTCACTCTGTGAGAACACGACTGCATGCCAAAAACCACCATTGTGCAGAAAGCAAACCCACAGCTATACAGAGGAATAAGCAAACCTATCAGGATTCTGGAAATCCAAATGACATTGTTTTGGCTAAACCTATCCTTCAAGTGCATGTATTTTAAAACTATCCGCATGGAAAACCTTTTCAACATCGCGTCATGATGCAGCTGAAATATTAAGATTTAGCTTCCTTTTATTGATTTGTTAGATGTTTAGAAGTATAATGAAATTCGTTTTGCATTCAACTGACATCGCAAATAATCTTATAGCAACTTTTGGGGAAACTTATGGTTTTTAGAATAAAGATGGGAGGGGATATCATGTGAAGCTGCCTCATCACAACCATTCATTTCTTTTCTTCGTTTTTTATTTGGAACAAGATCACTACCATTCATGCAGCAACATTAGTTGAAGGCCTTTTGGGATGTTTATAGCATCTAAATGCCTTAAAGTTTCACTGTTTCTCTCAAAATACCTTCTAAAGACTTTTTTTTCTAAAGTTGTCCTCCAGCCTGAACCCCTAGTTCCCATGCTCTGTCCTCACCCTGCTCTTTTCTGTAACCTAATACTTATCCACCAATTCCTGCATCCTTACTCCAGTCATTACAGAACACTGTGTAAAAAAGCCACGGCCTACCTCTTCAGTTTGTCTGATCATTTTTCTCAAGGTGTGTAATTATAATATATTCTGATTTAGGTTTTGATGGCCATATGTTAGGATTAAATATAATAATCACTAGATAACTTGAGCTATAAAAGAGACAACATGGTTAAAAATCGTAATGATTTTTTAATGCATCAATCATAGGCCAATAATGGCATATTCAAGATCGAACACTCAGAATAAATAAAATGTGATTTATGTCAAAAATACATAATTTTCAGTCCTTTAAGCCAAACGTTAAAGACTGTTAGGTAATGTCAATGAAAAGCAACATCAGAAGACAGCAGAAAATTTGCTAAATAATTCTTTGATCACTAGAACTTGAATAGAACTTTTTATCCGCTTTAAAACTAGTTTATTATAGCCTAATCTGTTTTTTTTCTTCACTAAAGTGCTGCATTACTGTTCCTTGTATCCACTCAGTTGTTCATAATCTTGTTTTATCTCTTTGCCATTGCATATCATGAAGAATGCATGTTCTTGAAGGTGTAAGAAGAAAGTCATGTTCCCCCCTTGGTTCTATCGTATCTAATCTCTGAGATTGCATAATTATCTCATTGACTTGTGTATTTAGTCGTGCTAATCGTATATATATATATATATACTTCA